GACGCGGCGACCCACACGGCTTGTTATTCCTGGCGGCTGCCGCAAGGGGCTGTACCATCCGGCGGGGGCCGCCCGCTTTGGGGATGCACAGCATACTGTCATCCCCATCGCGCGGACCGGCTGTGGGGGGGCCTGGTTTAACGCATTCGTCTAAACCAGAGCCTAGCCCTGACCTGCCCGAGCGGGCCGTGTGTCCCTGTTGTGCAACTGCAGGCAGGGCCGCGCACATTTTTTAGGATTCAATGGCAGCCCGCCTCCACGTGGCGAATCCTGGCACGGCTGCAGAGCGCTACACCCCACGCTCTGCGGTTACCAAGAGGTTGCTCTATGTGTGTGTACTGTATGGGTATGCATGTGCGCATGTGTGCATGTGTGTGTGTGTGTTTGTGTGTGTGTGCATGTGTGCATGTGTGTGTGTGTGTTTGTGTGTGTGTGTTTGTGTGTGTGTGTGTGTGTGTGTGTGCACGTGCGTGTGTGTGTGCACGTGCGTGTGTGTGTGCATGTGTGTGTGTGCACGTGCGTGTGTGTGTGCATGTATGTGTGTGTGCGCGCGTGCATGCGTGGGTGTGTGCGTTTGTGCATGTGTGCGTGCGCACGCGAGACTGTGTGCTCATGCACATGCACGCGTGCATGCAAGCTTGTGTGCGTGTGCGCTTGAATTTGAGTGTGCATGTGCACACATGAGCAAGCTCATGCCACCAGCAGAGTGGCAGGCGTGGAGGGTGTTTATATGTGTCCCTACCTGTGAGCAAAATGTTTCGTCTTAGGTGGCCACAGCGTCTGCGGCCAGCAGATCCAAGGGCCAAGCACTGCAGTGGCACACGACAAAGTGCACTAGCTGAGCAGTTGCTGAGCAGTTGCTGACGACAAGCATATGCACACTCATACATACCTGATGCTGGCATGCGGTTGGGCTATGATTGCACGCGCCGGCTTGTAAAAAATACAAATCGCTTGTGAAATTTACATCAAGGATACAGGGCATGTCACCGGTCAGCCAACGAATGCTTCTGAATCATAGCAGGTTGCCTCGCAACAGACTATGCAAGGTTGAGCTCCACTGCCTGGAACGCAGCTCAAACACTGACAGTGTCCAATGTTGAGCCAGGGGTGCATCAACCCACCCCGCTGCAGCGACTGCCCGCGCCGTCCTCAGCAGCCACCCGGCCACGCTGCCGGGTGCTGTGGAGCCCCCAAGTCACCACTGCAGAAAGCGCCCACGCCGCTCCACAGCAGATCACTCGTAATCAAAGTCGCGGAAGCGCCAGTCCCCCGGGTGCGAGCTGCTGGCGGCGACGCCCTCTGCGTTGCGCAGGATGTCGTTGAAGCGGAAGGGCTTGGGCAGCGCCTTGGCCAGCAGCTTCTCCTGGTGGTGTTCGGTTGAGTGCGTTGTTGGCAGCATGTGTATGTGTATCATCAAATACAAGTGTGCGTGCGTGCGTGCGTGCGTGCGTGCGTGCGTGTGTGTGTGTGTGCGTGTGTGCGTGCGTGTGTATGTGTGTGTGATGAGCAGCAAACAGCGCTACAGGCACAGTGCACTGACGAGCCCTGCGTGGACATCAATTTCTTTCTCAAGAACGCATGCGTGCGTTCGCAACCCCACTCTCTACTCTCCCGTCGCACCACCAGCCCCCTCCTCCTCGTTCACACCTCCACGGGGCTCCAGCGCCTCATCTTCATGGCCGTCACCACAGCCCCCGTGCTGAGCCCGCTGAGCTCCTTGCGCACCAGAGCCTCCACCTCATTGGCCGGGTATCTATATTGTTTGAACATGGTTGACAAGGCAGGTGGGTGGTGGGGGAAAAGAATAGGTTACATTGCAACACAATATAGACTCAGCTGCTGCAACAAGGAGCTATCAGCAAGGGATTCACACAGTCAATATAGGTGCACAGGGGTCTGAGCAGTGGCGGCACGTGCGCCGCCCCTACTGAGGATGGGGGGGTCAGCCGCAGCCCGGCAGTGAGTAGTGTGCTCGGCCAAGCTTGCCCCCACAGGCGCAGGCCCCACCAATGACCCCACCAGCAGTGCCTTTGTTGCGCACGAAGAGCGCCAGCATGTGCAGCGGGCACCGGGCGCAAGCTGGGGCCAATCAGCTCGATGCAATGAACCCATGACTGAACAACTTGACAAGCACTCAACGGACACCCCACCCCACCCCACCCCACCTGTTGAAGAGCTCCTCAAAGGTTCTGTCCAGGAACAGCAGCGCCTCTGCATCAGCCAGCGTCTTGGGGTGGGAAGTCCGGGGGGCGGATGCAGGGGTGTTTCAGGGGGGGTTGTGGTGGAAGGAGCAAGCACAGGTGGTGCCCCAGCAGGGGAAGGGGGGGATGTGTGATGGCCAGTGTTGTGTTGAGGGCGACGGCACATACGGGTGTGGCTGCAGAGCTCATGAACAATTGGATCTGGGTAGCCTCATGGCAAGCTCCAAGTGACCAGGCTGGCTACCAACTGCACGCCTGCCACACACGGCCCACCATGTGCAGACCGCAGCACTGGGGTTGCCAAACTTTGCTGCAACCCCAGAGCAGCCCTAACAAATCAGTGGAATCGAGTGGTTGCCGATCCGTCCCCGCCGAGATCACGCCAACCACCCCCCAACCGACACTCCATACACCAACGCGCGCCGCCCTCACCTGCACCACCTTGGCCGCGAGCAGCAGCCGGTAGTTGATCATGCCAAAGGGCCCCAGCAGGTCGTGCAGCCGCATGTCGCGGGGGTTGGGGATGTTGCGACTCATCATGACGTCATCGACCAGCTTGATCGCCTGCTCGTCGTAACCAACGTCCTGTGGGGAGGAGTTGCGGGAGAGCAAGGTGGGGATGCTTGCGAGGGATCCATTTACAAGAGGTTGACGACGCAGAGGCATCCTGCGAATGGGTCCAGGTGATGCCTGTCCCCTGACAACCTGGCACGCGCCGGTTGTCAGGGGGTTATCAGGGCAGCAAAAGGTGCCTCCGTCCTGAACACGTGACCCATCATCCCCAGCAGGCCCAAATGTGCCTTCAAAGCCGCTCCAGATAACATCGCTGTTCATAACCCTTGCGTGTAGACCCGTTCGGTGAGGTGTCCATGCCCCTGGAGCAAGAGAATTGTTCTGATCCTGTACCTCCTCAGCCTGTGAAAATCCGCCTGCCGGCGCCACCGCCCGTCGTC